AAAGCTTTTTTTACATCTATTAATAAGATCATATAATTTAATGCTTTGTTTTGTTAATGTGCTGTATTACATTGATGGATTTGCATGTGTTGAACCACCCTTGTGCCCCTGGAATGAACCCGTTGATCGTGATGTATTATATTTTTAATAATTGTTGTACTTGATTTGCTAGTATTTTGTTTAGGATTTTTGCATTGGTATTCATCAGAGATATTGGTCTGTAGTTTTCTTTTTCTTTGTATTAATCTTGCCAGGTTTTTGTGTCAGGCTTATGTTGTCCTCATATAAATGTGTTAAAAGCATTGCCTCTTCTTCAATTTTTGGGAAGAGTTTGAGAAGAATAGGTATCAAGTCTTTGAATGTTTGGCAGAAATGAAGCCACCTGGCCCTTGAGTTTTATTTTTGGGGGAGGTTTTTCATGGTTGTTTCAATTTCCTCGCTGTTTATCTATTTAGATTTTCTAATTCTTCATGGTTTTATATATATAGTGAGTCTAGCCAGGGGTTTGTTAATTTTACTAATCTTTTCAAAGAATCAGCTCTTTGTTGTATTATTTTTTGTATAGTTTTTTGTTCTCTATTTCATTCATTTTTGCTCTAATTTTCATTATTTCCTTTCTTCTGCTAACTTTGGGTTGCTTTTATTCTTCCCTTTCTAGTTCTTAATTTCTAATGTTAGGGGGTCAAGATAGAGGTGTAGATAATTATGCCTGGCCTCCATGCACAACTACACAAAAAAGTACAACTAGACTACAAAACAAATATCACCCTAAATTTTCAGAAAATTGAGCTGTGTGGAAGTCCAACAACCAAGGATTCAAAGAAACCACATTCATCCAGATGGCTAGGAGGGGTGGAGACTCAGAGAGGTACAGAGAGATGGAGGGTCATGAAAAGGAACAGGCAGGCATGGAGATGGGAACAGGTGGTCCCACATCCACATGTGCTAGTCAAAAAATTGGAGGGATACCTCAGGAACAAAGTGTCCCAGCCTCAGTCCAGACCACCTAGCCCAAGGTTGCAGCACCAGGAAGATAAGTCCCCCTAACTTCTGCTGTAAATCCAGTGGGGTTTGGGGCAGCAGAAGAAACTGCAGGATTCTCAGGAGACTCCTTTTAAAGGACCCAGAACAGACTTGGGACTTACACAGATTCACTCTCTCTGGGATTCAGCACTAGGGAAACAGCTGGAAGGGTGCCAGTGGCATATGGGGAGAAAGTGAAGTGTGAGTGCCAAGAGAAAGCTTCCTCCTGGGCAAAGTTTCAAAGGCCAGGCAGTGGCATTGCCCCCTTGGCAAGCCCTCCCAGACACAGAGTAGCAGAACAGGGACACAAGTTTCCCCACCCTGGTGATTACCTAAGGCTCCACCCCATACAACTTAACAGGTGTGCTTTTCTACAATAGACCACACTACTGATATAGGGAGTCAAAGCAGCTCTAGCTAATACATAGAGACAAACTCAGGAAGGCTGCCAAATTAAGAAGACAAAGAATTATGGCCCAAATGAAAAAATAGAACAAAACTCCAGAAAAATAAAACTAAATAAAATGGAGAAAAGCAACCTATCAGACGTGCAGTTCAAAACACTGGTCGTGAGGATGCTCCAGGAACTCATTGGGTATTTCAATGGCGTAAAAAAAACCCAGGCAGAAAAGAAGGCTGCATTAAGTGAAATAAAGTGAAATCTACAGGCATCCAACAGTGGAGGGGATGAATACAAGAATCAAATCAACGATTTGGAACACAAGAAAGGAAAAATATTCAACCAGAAGAGCAGAATGAAAAATGAAACAAATAAACAATGACAAAAAGGATAGGCTTAGAAACTTCTGGGACATCTTTAAACATACCAACATCTGAATCACAGGGGTGCCAGAAGGTGAGAAGGAAGAGAAAGAAATTCAAAACTTATTTTAAAAAATAATTAAAGAAAACTTCCATAATTTGGTGAAGGAAATAGACATACAAGTCCAATAAACACAGAAAGTCTCGAACAAGATGGATGCAAAGAGGACCACATCAAGACACATCATAATTAAAATGCCAGTGCTTAGAGATAGAAAGAATTTTAAAAGCAGCAAGAGAAAAGCAGAGTTACCTATAAAGGAGTTCCCATGAGACTATCAGCTGATTTCTCAAAATAAACTTTGCAAGCTAGAAGGGACTGGCAAGAAGTGTTCAAAGTGATGAAAAGCAAGGACCTACAACCTAGATTACTCTACCCAGCAAAGCTATCATTTAGAATGGAAGGGCAGATAAAGTGTCTCCCAGAAAAGGTAAAGCTAAAGGAGTCTATCATTAACAAGTCATTATTATATGAAGTGCTAAAGGGAATTATATAAGAAAAAGATAAAAACTATGACTGTTAAAATGGCAATAAATTCACAACTATCAATAATTGACTCCAAATAACAAACTAAGCAAACAAGCAGAAGAGAATCATAGATAAGGAGATCACATGGAGAGTTATCAGTTGGGAGGGGAATTGGGGAAATGGTGGGGGGGAAGGTGCAGTAATTAAGCACAAATTGGTAGGTACAAAATAGCTAGGGTGATGTCAAGAACAGAATAGAAAATGGAGAAGCCAAAGAACTTATAAGCATGACCCATGGATATGAACTAAGGGGGCATATTACTGCAGGGAAGGGTGGTACCAGGTGGAGAAAAGCAAAGGGGAAAAATTGGAACAACCGTAATAGCATAATTAATAAAGTATACATATTTTAAAAGATGTAATATTATGTTGTTTATTTGAAATTTTTCTCATTTCTTGAGATAGGCCTGTAATGATATAAACTTCCCTCTTATCACTGCTTGCACTGCATCTCAGAAATTTTGACATGTCATATTGTCATTCTCATTTGCCTCTACATATCTTTTGACCTCATCTTTTACTTATTCTTTGACACAGTCACTTTTGAGTAGTATGCTATTTAATCTCCTCATGTTTGTGGGGCTTTTACCTTCCTTTTTGCAGTCGATTTCTAATTAAAAATCACTATGGTAAGAGAATATGTTTGGTATGACTTCAATCTTCCTAAATTTGTTGAGGCTGGCTTTGTGACCCGGCATATGGTCTGTCCTTGAGAACCTTCCATTTGCACCAAAGAAGAAGGCATAATCGGATGCTCTCAGATGAAAGGTTCCGTCAGAGTCAATTATGCCCATTTGGTCTAATGTGTCGTGAAAAGCTAATATTTCTTTACTGATTTTGTTTGGGTAATCTACCTAGAGAGCTATCAATGGAGTATTTAGGTCCCTACTATGACTGTTTTTGTCAGTTTCTGACTTTAGTTCTGTTAGTAGTTGCTTTTCATATTTTCGTGCTCCCTGGGTACATATATATTGAGAAATGTTAGGTCTTTTTGATGTAGAGTCCCCTTTATCATTATACAATGTCCATTTTGTTTCCTGTTATCATTGTTATCTTAAAATCTATTTTGTCAGATGTAAGTATGGCTTCACCTGCTTTTCTGAGGATGCTATTTGCTTGCAGAGTCATTTTTCATTCTTTCACTTTGGATCTATTTTTTCAGCTTAGATGTATTTCTTGAAGTCCATATGTCTGGGTTTTGTTTTTTGGTCCAATATGCTACTCTGGGCCTTTTAGTTGTGTGTGGACACAAACTTTTTGACAAAGGAGTAAAAATATACAACAGAGAAAAAAAGCCTCTTCAATAAATGATTCTGGGAAAATTGGGAAGCCACATGCAAAAGAATAGACTATAGTTTGTTCCCATGTACAAATATTAATTCAAAATGGATCAATGACCTATATGTAAGACCTGACACAATAAATTACATAGAAGTAAACATAGGAAACTTAGGTACTAAACTTATGGACCTTGGTCTTAGAAAATATTTTATGAATTTGACCCCAAAGGCAAGGGAAGCAAAGGCAAGAATAAATGAATGGGACTATATCAACAAAAAAGCTTCTGCATAGCAAAAGAAATTAACAACAAAATAAAAAGGCAAACAACCAAGTGGAAGAAGATATTTGCAAACAACAGCTCTGTAAGAGATTACTGTCTAAAATATATAAAGAACTCATATAACTCAACGCTAAACAATCCAGTTAAAAAAATGGGAAGAGAATCTGAACAGATACTTCTCTCAAGACATACAAATGGTCAAGAGATATATAAAAATATGTTCAACTTCATTAGCTATTAGGGAATTACAATTCAAAATTACAAAGAGATACCACCTCACACCTCTTAGAATGGGTATTATCAACAAGACAATTAATGACATGTTGGAGAGATTGTGGAAAAAAAGGAACCCTCATTCATTACTGGTGGTAATGTAAACTGGTACAGCCAGTATGGAAAACAATATCAAGTTTCCTCAAAAAATTTGTAATAAAGTTGCCATATGATCCAGCAATTTTTTTCTGTGTATCTACCCCCCAAAATTGTAAACATTCATTTGCAATGATATATGCACTCCTCTGTTCAATGCAGTATTATTTATGGTGGCCAAGATGTGGAAATGACCAAAGTGTTTTTTGATAGAGGACTGGGCAAAGAAGAAGATGTGGTATATATATGCAGTGCAGTACTACTCAGCCATAAGAAAAGATGAAACGCTGCCATTTGTGTCAATATGGATGGACCTTGAGAATCTCATGCTAAGTGAAACAAGTTAGTAACAGAAAGCTAAGAACCATATGATTTCATTCATATGTGGGAAATAAAACTGACACTCAAAAACACAGACAATAGTATGGTAGTTGCCAGAAGGAAGCAGGGTTGGGGGTAGTAAAGGGTGAATTAGGCCAAAGGTATGGTGACGGAAGATGATTTGACTTTGGGTGGTGGGTGCACGATGTAATGTACACTTGAAAGTATATAATCTTATTAACCAATGTCATCCCAATAAATTTAAATGAAAAACAAAATTAAATTAAACCAAAATAACCAATAACAAAAATTTCAAACATGTTAAACTTAGAAGACTGCTCAACATGTGTAAATGGGGTATCTTAAAAATCTTACAAATTGTGCTCTGGCTGGTATGGCTCCATGGATTGAGTGCTGTCCTGCGAACTGAAACGTGGCCTGTTCAGTTCCCTGTCAGGGCACATGCCTCGGTTGCAGGCCAGGTCCCCAGATGAGGGTGTGCAAGAGACAACCAAGGAATGTATCTCTTGCACATTAATGTTTCTCACCCTCTCTTTTCCCTCCTTCCTCCTCTCCCTGTAAAAATAAATAAATAAAATATTTTTAAAAATCTTACAAATTATTAAAAGGATAAACACAAAAAAATGCATGTTAATTATAAAGAATCCATTCACAAAAGAACACATGTAAATGACCATGAATTATATTTTTAAAAAGCAAAAGATTTCTATGATCTGAAGAGAAACCAGAGTGTTATATTTTTAATATCAACAAAATATTCAGTAATATGCATTAAAATAACAGAATATAAGTTTTCCCTTAGATTGTTAAGTTGGGGGAGGAACTGAGAAACGTGCATGTATTCTCTATTCGTAGAAGTGTAAATTGTTAGGATAATGATTTATAATTCATATAAAACTTATAAAAATATGTGTAATGTTTGGCCTAGCATTTCTAGTTTCAAAAATTTATATTTAGAAATTAATCATAGAAATTCACAAAGAATTAGAAACAATGATGTTGATGTAACATTCTTTATAATGGTGCAAGAAATTAAAAATAGTATAAAAGCATCTATGTATTATTTATTTGTTGAATTCCCATTTATTAATTTATTTTGTATCAAGTACTGTATTGAACTTCACATACATGTCAACTCATTTCTTTTTCATTTTATAGATTAAAAATTGGACTCTGAGATATTAAGCATGCTGATCACAATCATAAAGCTAGTAAGAAACAGATGGCAGCATTTAAATTTAGTTTTATTTCTTTCAAAAACCTATCTACTATTTTAGACTTTCTTGTCAGTTTTTGTCTAGTCATAGGATGTTATGTGTGATGCAGCTATTTAAAGTGATATAAAAATATACTTAAAAGATAAAGGAAAATGTTTATGACATTGTGTTAACAAAAATCAGATAAGATTTTATTATACAGAATGATTTATTTTTTAAAGATTTCATTTATTTATGTTTAGAGAGGGCAAGGGAGGGAGAAAGAAAGAAAAACATCAATGTGTGGTTGCCTCTCACATGCCCCACACTGGGGATGTGGCCTGCAATCCAGGCAGGTGCCTTGACTGGGAATCAAACAAGTGATGCTTTGGTCTATAGTCTCACATTCAATCCACTGAGCCACACCAGCCAGGGCCAGAATGATTAAAAAAAAAAAAAGTACAGGTCTCCATTCACAGAAAAGACCTGCAGTAAAGTGCCCTTAAAAGATGGTTCTCAGACGGTGGTAAAATTATACTTTTGAAATTCTTTACTACTTGCTACATTTGTATTTTTTAAATTCACAAAGACTAATGCATAGTAGGGAGTATATATGAATGTGTATTATTTTTGTTGCCAAATTATTAAAATACTTCAATATGGCCCAAAGCAGTTTTTCTTCTCTTGAGATCTGAAAAGTAAAAAGCCTCTTTAAAAAAAGTTTGAAATGTATTTTCATTTGGCATTCAAAAAAGTTTCTACAAAAATATTCAAAGTGGTGAACTTAAGAATGTCCAAATTTATAGAAGGTCTTTATAAAAATTTACTGGAGCCCAAAAGAGGATATGCCTGGAAGCAAGATCTCAATAGAATGATACAAATGCTTCTTAAAGTGGCAGTTTGCTGCTTCTTCATGCATTTGGAATTGAGGAGGGACTGTAAGGAAGGTTACCTGTGCTCTCTTGGGGGTGGTTTCTCTTCTGAGGGGTCTGAAAGGAGGCATTTTGAAGGTGTGTTAACAGAAACACTGAACAGGACTTGCTGAAGGCAAAGATTAACTTTTTTAAAAAATTGATTTTAGAGAGGAAGGAAGGTGGGGGGAGAAAGAGAGAGAAACATCAATTTGTTGTTCCACTTATTTATGCATTCATTTGTTGATTTTTGTGTGTCCTGACCAGGGATCACACTGCAATCTTGGTGTTTGGGAACAGTGCTCTAACCAACTGAGCCACCCAGCCAGGGCAAACATGAACTTTTACTAAAGAAGTTCTATGCCTGGTATGTGACCTGCCTGGGTCAGAATTTATGATCAGGTCACCCTATGAGGTTACTTTCTGTAGAACTCCCTTTTCATCCAGAAATCTAAAGATTAAAAAATTAATTGAATGATTTCAAAAGTAAAGGGTAGACTAATACAAATAGAAAATCTAAGAGGAGACAAAAAGAACACTGTTGATAATTTTAAAATGCTTCTGTTCCAGGGGGTGGTACCTGAGGTAAGGACCAAGAGGCTTCTTTATAAGAGCGGCAGCCTGTCCCACTCGTCTGCTCTTGGAGATATTTTACAAATGCAGTATAGGGATCTGTTTTCATTCTAAGGCAGGAAAAATCTGAAATGAGCAACACATATTAACTTAGACTTCAAGACTCCTAAATATAGATTATATTTCACAATACAAATAATAGAGCAATAATAGAGTAGAATAGTTGTGCTTATGACACATAAAATCAGACCTACACACTTTTATTGCTCAAAATTAGTGAGGATACTTCCAAATGAATGAAAATAGAATCTCTAATGCTGAGCTGAACATAGAATTTCTGCTTAGATTAACTTAGAAATATTACAATTCCAAATTCATTTTGTCAACTTCTCTACAATCACTAAAGAAAACCAGTTTAACATGATTTTAAAATATATATACTTATGTGCAAAGTAGCTTGCAAGGGATTCTGTTACAGTAAAGAAAAGTTCTAAGAAATCTGTCTTATTACTTTAAACTGTTCAGAAAAACTCTAAAATAAAATTAGTAACCTACAAAGGAGTTCCCATCAGACTGTCAGCTGATTTCTCAAAAGAGACCTTACAGGCAAGAAGGGGCTGGAAAGAAGTATCCCAAGTCATGAAATCCAAAGACCTACAACCAAGATTACTCTATCCAGCAAAACTTTTGTTTAGAATGGAAGGACAGATAAAGTGCTTCCCAGATAAGGTTAAATTGAAGAAGTTCATCATCACCAGGCCCTTATTTTATGAAATGTTAAAGGGACTTATCTAAGAAAAAGAAGATAAAAAAACAGGTATACTAAAATGACAGCAAACTCACAATTATTAACAACCACACCTAAAATAAAAACAAACTAAGCAAACAACTAGAACAGGAACAGAACCACAGAAATGGAGATCACATGGAGGGTGATAACAAGGGAGTGGGAGGAGGAGGGGGGGAAGGTACAGAGAGTAAGTAGCATAGACGGTAGGCAGAAAATAGACAGGGGGAGGGCAAGAGTAGTGTGGGAAATGTAAAAGCTAAAGAACTTAAGACACATGGACATGAACTAAAGGGGGGAATGTGGGAGGGAGAGGGTGTGCAGAGTGGAGGAAAATGAAGGGGGGAATGGGACAACTGTAATAACATAATCAATAAAATATATTAAAAATAAATAAAGTTAAATTAGAAAAATAATATAGTCAGAGTAGGCTAGTGAAAAAACAGGAAAAGTTCAGTAAAGAGTGTTTCTGGGAAGATAGGAGGAAGAGAAGACAGAGAGAGAAATAAAAACAAATTGAATAGATTGGAGAGAGTATTAAAGAGCAAATAAGTAAGTTACTTATAAATTACGAAAAATGGTTATGAAGGGATTTTTAGTACAAATAAGAATATGTTCTTTTGTTATTTTGTTTGGTTTTATTTAGAGAAGGAAGGTAAAACTTAAAGAGAAAGAGGATGGGAAGAAAATATCTAAGATACATGTGAAGCATTTTGCTAGATTTTTACCTACAGTATTTTGTTAAAGAATGAACCACTTTTAATTGGACCTTGTGTTCATGTCATAACCTCATTTAATCTTCTCCACAGGCTTAAGAGGTAGGCATTATTGTCCCCCTGTTATAGATGAGGAAATTGACACTAGGAGGTTAAATTCTTTGACAAAGCAATAGGTAGTAAGAGGTTAATATTTTTTCTTTTAAAGTCAGGATCTAGTTTACTCCCCACTTATAGGATAACAAGATCAAACATGTGCTTCACAGGCAAAAATCTAGGCAGAGTGAATATCCTGTTTGTGACTAAAACAGATTTTACAGTCTGCTAAGAGATAATCTTTAGATTATTTGGAAATGAATAGCATGACCTATAAGACAGTTCTGGGAAGGCATTTTTCTTTAAAATAAAATTAAAAGTGAATTGATAAGGAAAGTATAAAGATCATTGCAAAGGGTTCTGCTATCTTATCTGTGTTCTCCCAAAGCAGAACAAGCAAAAGCAAGGAGTTTGGTACAAGGAGTTTAACTAGTAGGTGACCCCAGGAAGAGTGGTGAATGGAAGCAAGGGAAAAAGAAAAATCAATGCATTAATGAGTGGATTACTGCTGTGGACAGCTGGGCTCGATCCCCCTGGGTAGCTTTGCGAGTTCATAGAATTGATTAGAACTCACTATGGAAGTGTCCCTTCAAAGGGTGAGGAAGCTGGAATATATATCCACAGCTCTCACCCCTCATTTATTTGCTTATTCTGGGCCATTACAACCCTGCCCCACAAATGGGCTAAGCACACTCCTGAGATCGGAGAAAGTCTCTGGGCAGAGAGACTCAGGTGCTTGAGGTAAGATGGCCTTGGCATATGGCCTGAAAAAGTCCAGCCAATGTTAATATAATGAGAATGGCTTGCATGACATCAAAGTAACCTGGCAGCCAAGGAGAGTGGACTGGAATGTGCATGTGTAAACATTGATGACTTCAGTGGGGGCAGTATACCCATTGAGTAAGCATGTGTGCTGTGTGGCTGTCACATTCAACATGACTGAGCAAGAAGAACAATGAATCTGCATCAAATTTTGCATTAAGCTTGAACATTCTTCCTCGGGAACTGTTTGGATGATTCAGAAGGGCACAGCTACAGGCGTCTGGTGATTGGCAGCTTCATGAGAACAATGCACCCACTCAGGCATCACATCTCATACAGAGTTTTGTGGCGAAACACCAAATCAGCCAGGTGACTCAGTCCCCCTGTGGCCCAGATGTGGCACCCTGTGACTTCTGACTTTTCCCAAAACTAAAATCACCTTTGAAAGGGAAGAGGTTTCAGACCGTCCATGAGATTCAAGAAAATCTGAGGGGGCAGCAGATGGTGATTAGGAGAACTGTGTAAGGTCCCAATGTGCCTACTTTGATGGAGATAAAGGTGTCATTGTCCTGTGTACAATGTTTCTTGTATCTTCTCCAATAAATGTCTCTACTTTTCATATTACATGGCTAGATACCCTCTGGACAGAACTCAAAGAAAAGAATTCCATGAAGCTGCAAGTGACCTCAGGAGTTGACCGAGGGGATATAGGCAGTACATCAACAGAGACCAATAAATAATCTCGTGTGTGTGTGTGTGTGTGTGTGTGTGTGTGTGTGTGTGTGTAACTTCAGTAGAATAAAATAAAATTTTAGAAGAAAAGTACTGTGGTTTCAGAAGAATAAAATGCAGAGGAAAAAATATATTCTTTTATAAACTTCCTACCACTTGGTGGCACTATGTCAAAGTTTAGGTGGTTGAAACGGGGTAGTACTAGTAATGATGACTTGAAATGACAACAAATATTCCATGATAATGGCTGTAAAGCAACCTCCCCCAAATGTGTCCTTTTCTAGTTGGAGATTAAACTGCTGTTACTATATCGTAAGTTTTCGGAAAGATTCTTTCTCTAATGCTTTCCTTGTCCCACAGTCCCTGCCCATCTTTACATTTGTTATAGATTCATGAAATTACTATTACAGTGCAGTGAAACTATTGAATTAATACTTACTTTGTATGTCCTTTAGTTTTTGCAGCCACTGAGGCCTGATTTCTTGCTGGGCTTTTTTTGCGTTGGCATTCTCTATAGAAACAGGAAGTTATTTCTTTTTAGTAAGACAGGAGTTGTTTTCCTAACCAAAATGCTGTCAAAAAATTATTATATGCTGATAACTATAACCATTCTTATGCATTCACTTCTTGTATTATAAACATGATAAACATTTCCTCTTAAGCTACTTGTAATATTTACTTAAAACCCTATTGATTAAATTTGAAGTTTGTATCAAATACCATTATCTTTGAACTAAATGTAAAAGTAAATATTGATCCCTAACTGGTGTGGTTTGGTGCTGGCCTACAAACCAAAGGGTCATTGGTTCTATTCCTAGTCAGAGCATATGCTTGGGCTGTGGGCCAGGTCCCCAGTAGGGGCCCCATGAGAGGCAACCACACATTGATGTTTCTCTCCCTGTCTTTCTCCCTCCTTTTCCCTCTCTACAAATAAATTTTAAAAACTTGAAAAAATTTAAAAAGTAAATATTGGTAAATTGTTATTAATTCTAAAAGGATTGATACTATCTCAAACTCCTCTTTTACTTCCTTTTGGTTTTCTCCTACCAATTTGATTATTCTGATGTGGTCTCTTCTTTGTCCTCTTCTTAAATATCGGTACTATTCAGGGCTCTGCCTTCAAACTTACATTTTCCTTCAAGCTACCTGTAGTACTTCCCCTAGCAGTCTCACCCACACCCAAACTTTAAGTTATCTCCTACTTACTGATGCTTCCTACGTTTGCATTGTCAGCCCCATTTCTCTCCGAAGCTCCAGTTTCATTTTGTGATCGCCTTCTAAACATCTCTGCTGCAAATTCAACATGTCTACAAACTAATTTATATCCTTTCCTGAACTTTGTTTCATCCCACCCCCTCATCCCTTTCACCTGGTCATTCAGAAGAAAATGTTGGAATGGTTTTAAATGGAATATTATTATAATCATTCACTGAGTGCCTCAGGCACTGTCTTTTATATGCATTATGTTATTCAATGTTTAAAACAAGGTGAGCACTATTATTAATATCATCTTACAAATTAGAAAACAGAAACTTGCCTACAACTAAATGACCAGTAAGTACAGGAACTGACTTAAACTAAAGCAGTGCATTTTCAGAGTCTGTACTGCTAATCTAACACTGTTAATAATAATAGCACCAAAAATCCATGTTTCTAAACATTCTGTCACCTCCTTTGTGATTAGGTTGGAATCATCTACATGGATCTAGCCAGTGGAAATGGAAGTGCTGTATGTCTCTGCCAGGCCAAGGCACTTAGGATACGACATTTTTCTCAATCTTTAAGGCACTTGAGAAATGGCATTCCTCTCAATTTCTTTTTTCTCTCAGTTGTCACAGATTTAGAGGCCACGAATCATGGAAGACAGCAGAGCTACAAGTTGGAGGAGACACTGCATGAGAAAGAAAAAAGACCCAGAGATTATAGGGTGTTGTTATCACAGCACACCCTGGCCTCTCCTGTCTAATGCAAGTAATATGCCAAAAAATCCCTCCCTCTTCTTCACCATCCACACCCAATCAACTACCAAATCTCACCATCCACACCCAATCAACTACCAAATCTTCTAATTTCTCCTTAATTCTTCCTTTTCTGTGTCCTTCTCACAGTGTCTTAGGTTAAGCCCTCATTAGTTCCCTAACTGGGACAATTGCCAAAACCTTCTAAACAATTTACTACCTCCATCCTCCCTCTATACTACACACTGCAGCTAGGGTGACCCTTCTAAAATAATACTATGTCGATGCTCTGTTCTTACTTAAAAATTTTAAATGGCTTTCCATTGTCCACCACATTGTCCAAACTCTTCAGCATAGGCTGCAAGATCATTCACAGCTTTGTAACACCTGCCTCAGTGGCCACTCCCCTCAGGACCCTAGATATACCTTATTCTACTTTCTAGTATACTACTCCTTCGATAATTCCTCTCCTATGCATCTTTTCATACTCAGCTAGGTTGTCACCTTGGAGGAAAAATTTTTCCCTGACACTTTATTCCATCTCCTCTTTTCTGTCTCCCATGGCCCTTGCTCCCCTCCTTTCTATCCTTACACCATTGCACATCTGTGTTCATTTTTACTGCATCACCCACCATATTGATTGTGTTGATCAAAAAGCCCATACATTTTTTTCCATAAAAGACACATTTTTCACTTTCACCAATAACTTCATTGATTTGGATATTTTGAGTATGTCAGCTATCTCCCATGTGGTATAATGTTGATTGTTCTTAATTAATGTCTCCATTTGATCACTATCAACTTCAACTGGTCCACCCGATTGGGGAGCATGGTCCAGTAAGAACTCTTCAGCACGAAACTTCAAAAACCACTTTTGACATGTTTGATCAATCAGTCACAGCACCTTCTCCATATTCTGCACAAATCTTTTTTTTTCTTTGCATTTCAGTTGTGTTTTTATCTATCTTGAAATAATAAAGTATAATATGCCAAAAATGTTGCACATTTTCTTGCATCTTTAAAATTAAAATGGCTACACAAAAAGTCACCAAATCTGATATTTTTTTAAAAAATGCATGCTGATATGGCAGCTGTCACAATACAATCTAACAAAATTGTTTCAAATAAAGTTAAAGACAACTAAGTGCTACTAGAGCCATCTTACAGAAAAAAAAAAAAGACATGTTTTGGCCAACCTGATATATTAATGTCTTTACTACTGTGCATAGTGAATAGTACATATTAGGAAATTAAATATTTGTTGAATGAATTAATGAATACATGAATGAATGAATAATATTTTAGGCTATCAGGTGTTTCCCAGATAGCCTATAGGGAAAACAGTATCATTAAAATAGTCACAAAACTGTGTACTCTGGGTGTGGTAGCTAGTTTATAAAGATGGCCCCTAATGAACCTGCCTCTCAGTATTCACATTTTCACATAAACCATTTTCACATTGGATCTTGGCTTGCCCTGGGATCAGTTTCAATCAATAGAAAGGGGCAAAAGTGACATTGTATAACTTCTAAGTTTGAGCTTAAGATATCTGAAATTTCCAATTTCTTTGCTTGAAATATTCCCTTTTAGAAACCATCACAGAAACCTCTGATCAACAATCCCATCTGATGTATTAGATGCTAGCCAGTTTGAACTGTCCCCCACAAGAATGCTCCATCTTGGATATTCCAGACCAGCTGAGACACAGATAACTGCAGCTCAGTGAACATTTTGTGGGACAGAAGAACCTCCGAGCATAGCCCAGTCAACTCCTTCTCTCCTATTCTGGCTTCACGTGATCCTGTTAAAAAATATAGGCTTTGTTGGGGTAGAATGACAATTTACAAAGTTGTCTCAGCTTTACTATTATTTCCTTGGCATGCAATGACAAAAGTGACAAGTTTGCTATCTTCCAAAGTCTTTGCCACTGTAGGGTCAATACATGGCTTTCCCACCCCTTGTAAAGAAGGCTGGCCAGGGTGCCCCAGGCTGGAAGAAATGTGTATTGTTTTGGGAATGAATTATAACTGCCCCCTTATCTCATTTTGGGAGCAGCTTCTTGTCCTGTGATTGCTTCTTGGCCTTTTCCCTCTGTGAGTACACACTGAGATAATGTAGTTTCGAGTCAAGCATAGGACACAAGCCTTCTTTCTTGGGGACCACTTATAACAAACCTCAGATGGGAGGAGGTGTGGTCTCTCTTGCACCAACCCACTGCCATCAGTGCACTCCCCTGTCGTGTGAGTAATAAACAGCATGCCCACATTGGCTAGTCCACCGGGTGGGATTTTTCCCCCAGAATATCATGAACAGTTAAGCAGCTGCCTCATTTGGGGTTCCTGTGTTACAGCCACAGTTATTGGTGCCTACCAGTGTCTTTGCTAATGCTCTCATGCCTGATGTTGAGAATGCAGATGTCTGTACTGGGGTGTGCTCTCGAGTCACTACCAAAGTTACTGCCATCAATGCTGCTGAGTTCTTGCACTTCAGTATTCCACAGAGATCATTGTGAAACAGCCTTTCAGATTTACTCACATTTTTATTGTACTGCTTTTCACTTTGGGACTCAGGCATGAATCCATGGGGCTGGTCCAATAACTAATCTGAGTTATAGGATGACAGAAATAATGTTGCATTCATGATCATCTCCCATTTCCTGGCCCATTGTCCTTAAGCAACACTTCTGTGCCATGACATTCCCTTCCTTTGGATTAAAATCTTTTCAAAGAGGTGCCAAGTCCTCGATGTAAAGAGATCCTTGGATATGAATTCCACCAGACTTTCAGACTTGCCCAGAGAAGACTGAAACCAAGATGTTTAACATGCTCAGATGCCAGTGAATGAAGACTAGGAACATTTATTTACTTATTTTTAATTAGTGTAGAACACCTCTTCTATCCCCACACTCATCTGCTAACAGCTATACTTTTCCTTGGGGAAATTACCCTTCCCCCCTTCCAATTAGTTGTGATTGGACTGTCAATTACACTACATCACTACATCTTGGCCCATAGTGGTGGGAACACAACCTTGTTTTGATCAATCCTATTAGGTATTTCTTCTCTTTAGGAAAAGAGACTGCTCTAGAGGACAGATACAGGCCCCAGGATAGGGCAATGAGAGTTCTCCTCAGAGGCTTTTTCCTCCCCCAGAAAGAGACTCCTTCTTTCTTGAAGAATAGAATAAGAAGGTTGTAATCTTGGGCTCCAAGTGGAAAATGCTTGGAGGAGATCATGAAGCCCAGAAAAATTAAGCAGATGACAGATAAATGGTGCAAAAGACAGTGAGTTCTGGTTCTGTCAAGTCTGAAGTTTCTCTCACTAAGATACCTGATGTTATTTGCTCTCCACGGAAATTCAATCAACTCTATAAGAGACCCCATTTTTCCCACTAATTTTCAATTTTTACTTAGCTAATTTGAGTTGGAGTTCTGTCGATTACAATAAAAATGCTGACTATTGCAAGTACAGCACAATAAAATTATGAAAATATATTTTCTTTTTGTTCAGTTACCTACAAGTCATTCGTATTCATAATAGGAGAATGACAAACTAAAAAACAGCTGAAGTTGCAATATATTTAAAGAGTTATCTAGTAAGAAATCAATGTTTTATATATAAGTTGCAGTTACGTACTATGATCTAATGATGCTAACAAATTATCCAAGAAAAGGAAATTCGATTTCAGAGTGTTCTATAAAGGAAAAAAATGTATGAAACATATGCTTTGTTGGGGTAAATTGACAATTCTAAAAGTTACCTCAGCTTTACTAAATTTCTTTCATAGCATTAATTTGAAATTTTTGATTAAAAATGAGTATACAGTATCTGTAATTTTGCCATCCACACACAAAAAATAATGATACAATCTGAAGTAATAGACTTCTAGTCAAGATGGAGGCATAGGTAAACATGCCTTGCCTCTTCAGATGACTATAGAAAAAAATTACAAGTAGACCACCAAACATATATCATCCAGAACCATCAGAAAATCAAGCTGTATAGAAGTCTGACAACCAAGGATTTAAAGAAGCCACATTTATTCAGACAGGTAGGAGCAGCAGAGATATGAAGACCAGCAGAGAGTTACCGAGATGTGTGTGGCACAAACACATGGCAGAACTGGGGGTCCCACATTCATGTATGGTGGATAAAATTTGGGAGGGGTACCTCAGGAGCAAGGGATCCCAGCCCCAAGCCAGACCACACAATCCTGGGTTCCAGTGCCAGGAAGATAAATCCCCATAACTTCTGGCTGTAAAAACCACTGGTGATTGGGGCAGCAGAAGACACTGCCAGGTTTTCAGGAAACTCTTCTTAAAGGGCCTGCACTCAATTAGAACTCATGTAGACCCACCTGCTCTGGGATTTGACACCAGGGAAACAGCTGGAAGGGCACCAGTCCTATATGGGAAGAAAGTAAAGTGACTGGAAACAGGGTGAGTGCCAGGCAAACCTCTAGACCCCAGGCAGCAGCATTGTCCCCTCTCTGAGCCCTCCATCCAGAGCCACAAAGTGATGAAGTAGATTCCCCTGCCCTGGCAATTACCTAAAGCTCTATTCCACATAATCTACAATAGGCCACCCTACTAAGACAGGGAGTTAAAGCAACTCTACGTAATACACAGGAACAGATACAGGGCGGCTGCCAAATTTAGAAGATAAAGAAATAGGGCCCAAATGAAAGAACAGAGCAAAACCCTAGAAAAAGAACTAAACAAAATGGAGATAACCAACCTATCAGATACAGAGTTCTAACACTGTATCAGACGCTCAAAGAACTCACTGAGTATGGCAACAGCATAAAAAAAACAGAAAGAAATGAAGGCTATGTAAAGTGAAATAAAGCAAAAGCTACAGGAAACCAACAGTGAAGGGGATAAAGTCAAGATTCAAATCAATGCATTGGAACATAAGGAAGAAATAAGCATTCAGTCAGAACAGCAAGAAGAAAAAAGAATTAAGAAAAACAAGAATAGTATAAGGAGCCTCTGGGACACCTCCAAACATACCAACATCCAATTTATAGGGGTGACAGAAGGAGAAGAGAAAGAGCAAGAAATTGAACATTTATTTGAAAAAATAATGAAATAAAATTTCCCTAATTTGATGAAGGAAATAGACATGCAAGTCCAGGAAGCACAGAGAGTCCCAAACAAGATGGACACAAAGAGGACCACACCAACACACATCATAATTAAAATGCCAATGATTAAAGATAAAGAATCTTAAAAGCATCAAGAGAAAAGCAGATAGTTATCTTCAAAAGAGTTCCCATAAGACTGTCAGCTGACTTTGCCAAAGAAACGTTGCAGGCTAGAAGGGACTGGCAACAAGAATTCAAAGTGATGAAAAGCAAGGACCTACAACCTAGATTATTCTATCCAGCAAAGCTATCATTTAGAACTGAAGGGGAGATAAAGTGCTTCCCAGACTAGGTAAAGCTAAAGGAGTTCATCATCACCAAGTCATTATTATATGAAATATTAAAGAGACTTATTTAAAAAAGAAGATCAAAACTCTGAACATTAAAATGGCAACAAATTCACAACTATCAACAGTTGACTCTAAAAAACAAACTAATTAAACAAGGAGAACAGGAACAGAATCATAGGTATGGAGATCATTTGGAGTGTTACCAGCTGGGAGGTGGAAGAGAATGGGGGGGAAGGTACAGAGAATAAGAAGCATAAATGGTAGGTATAGAATAGACAGGGGGAGGTTAAGAATAGTATAGGAAACAGAGTAGCCAAAGAACTCATATGTATGACCTATAGACATGAATTAAGGGGGATGGGGAATTGTGAAGGAAGGGAGGTATTGGGCAGAGGGGGCAAAGGCAGAAAAATTGGGAAAACTGTAATAGCATAATCAATCGAATATATATTTTGAACAAAGGTAAAAGGATTAGCCATCGAACATTTACACATAACCCATAGATAGAGACAAAAGTGTGGTGATGGCCAGAGGGAAAGGGGCTGGGGGCTGAATGGAAGGGGGCACAGTGAGGGGAAGGGAAGACATCTGTAATAGTGTCAACAATAAAAATAAAGGTTAAAATAAATAAATAAATATTTATTGTCATAAATATTGACAATAAAATTCTTGGAGAGTTGTTTACTATTGAACACTACTGGATGCTCTAGATGTAACAAAGTTTTCTACTGGTTTTTAGAGTAAACCATGAACAAAGATTTAACTCTAACATTGAATCATTCTTTTGTTTAACAACTGATTAGTATTAACGTAAGAAAAAAATCACAGCAAAATATAACAGTTCTTATAAATGAGGCCCTAGCAAGGATCACTTTTGAAATGTGTAAAGTATAAAAGTGTCTAAAGAAGACAACCAATTAAATTTATGATCCAAGATTTACTCTGTCAAATGAGAAAATAGAAAATTTGACAACCTAATTTACACTATAAATTGCCTTTGTACAATGTGTTTACAAGTGTGAACATTGATTTTCCATTACTGTGAAGAAAATGAGGCACCAAGAAGAAATAGCCTGAAAAAGAAAGTCGGTTAGCTACTATCAGATTTATAGCTCTCCTGAGTTAAAGTAGTTGAATCATGCTTGCAGATTGTGAACAGTGAAAGGTGTTAGTTCCTCTGAGTTTAAGCCACTGTACCCTAACAGCATTTAAAAATAAACTACACGAGCTCCTGAATGAAAACATAAAATGGAAATACCCACAATTAGGTCGTCAGCAATCCTACTAAGAAATAGTTGAGAAAACAAACAACTGCTTTTTCCCCCATAAACTATTGGTTTCAAGTATAGTGCCAATGATTTCAGCATTTTACTTTATTTTCAGTATAAACTTGGGCTTCATTTCATTTAAGATTTTTCTTCATTTTGTAATGGTATTTGGTTTTTAGTGTGGAAAGGAGCAAAGCATTAAACTCGAGGTAGGACCTTTGCCTTATTTCATTTCCCATATTTCATCTCTTACTCCCATAACCAAGAAGCTAACAGTTATTACGCACTTACGTACCAGGCACTGTGATGTACATTTGATAGACATACTATCATTTCATCCTCCCCTAAAACCTAGGGTATATATGTCTTACCCACATTTTACAGAGAAGAAAACTCATGCTAAAACGGGTTTGTAACTTGTCTGAGGTCATTCAACTAGTATATGGCCAAGTTTGAATTTAAACTTGGGTTTCCCTGGGTCCAGATTCTTTCTCTTTCCTGTTGTTTGTTCCATGCTGGTAGCTTTGTCTCCCAGATATAAAGATTAGAAAGTTTACTGCATGGCCTATTCTTAAAGCAGCAACAATTGAAAAAAGAGATACAAACTTGGAATCCTCAAAGAGTTTTCCCTGAAACATAGCTAAGAGTTTATGGGAAAATTACATTGATTCACCTTTGAAATGATAGCTATCAAATTCCTACTAGAGAGCTTGTTACATTGTAAGGGCTAACTAGTTCTCTTCACATCTCTCTGTGTGTTAACAATGGGGGATTAATAAAATCTACTGCTTCAGCTTTTACTGTGTTTGTATCTGCATAACAATACTACAGTAAACACCTATTGTCTTGTTTGCCCAACAACCTGTCTTCCTCTGGGAACCGTTTTTACACATCCGCTCCGTGGTGAATTAAATTACTTACTCCCACCCTAGTCTATCCCCTGCCTCCTGCTCTAACTAAAGCTTCACTGTGGGCAGAAAGTGTGTCTCTGCCCCTTGACCTGAGGTTTAGCCCTGTGACTGGCTTCCATCAATGGCATGTGTTAGGATGGTTCTGAGCCTAAACGTCGGGGGGTCTCCCATGTGACCTGGCAAGCTGACTGCTCCCAGAAGGAGGATGACCTAAGTGTGGAACACAGCCACCTGGTCACCACAGTCTGATGTATGGCTTCTCCCACCAATATGCAGATCTGAAATGACAATTGTTTTCAACCACTAGTTGGGGGTACATTGTTATACAGCATTAAAGTGATACTAGTTCATGGATATACCTCCTATCCCATCCCATTCCCAATTATATGGTTCCCATAGGACTTACCAGGTGCTTCTTATAAGACCTACATCTTTGTAAGATCTTTTTACAAGATGTGGACCACTTAGAGCTCTTCTCGATACTTTGAACCCGGAGGGAGAGCATGAGGCTCTCTTTCTGTGGCAGAAAGTGTACATATAAAACCCGGAGTTTTCATCAGCTACGTTAAGTCCTGTGGAGGAAGCAGGTCCGCAGTGAGGAAGTCAGGAGACAGAGGGCGACACCTAGTGGGTTTCTAGAATCCCTTCTGCGGTTATTTCTAAGGCCCTGCTGCATTTTTTTTTTTTTTTAAGATTTTATTTATTTACCTTTAGAGGAGAAGGGAAGGAGAGAGAGAGAGATCCATGTATGTTTGCCTCTCGTGCATCCCCTGCTGGGAACTGGCCTGCAACCCAGTCATCTGGCTGGGAATTTAGCCGCGATCCTTTGGTTTACAGGCCTGCGCTCAATCCACTGAGCTACGCCAGCCAGGGCATGCATTCTTACTGTTTCTTAGGTTCTCTCGATCCCAAAGTTTCCCTTTGTTTGACTCAGCTATTCTGGTTCGATTTAGTCACTTACAATTGATCACTTTTCTTTTTTTTATTGTGAAAAAACTAACAAAACTTTCCATGAGCTATTTTTGAATGTGCAATGCAGTAGCATTAACTGTATGCACATTGGTGTGCAACAGGCCTCTAGAAAATTATCCCCTTGCAAAACTAAAATGCTACATCCATCAGATAACAAGTCCTCTCTTTCTCTTCCTCCCTACCCCTGGCAGCTACCATTTCACTTTCAATTTGAATGAGTTTGACTATTTTAGATATCATATACAAGTGCAATCACAAAGAGTTTGTCTTTTTTGTGACCAGATATTACACTTACCATAATGTCCTCAGGGTTTATCAATGTTATAATATGTGGCCGGATTTCCCTCTTTCTAGAAGGTGCATCATATGTATATACCACTTTTTTACAATGGTTCATCCATTGATAGACATTTAGTTAGATGGCTTCCACCTTTTGGTTATTGTGAATAATGCTGCTATAAACATGGGTGTATAAATATACACATTTTAAAAAATTTACTACTTTTTTATGTTTAGACAAAAGGGATGGGAAGAAGAAAGAGAAGGAGAAAAACATCAAAGCATGGTTGCCTCTCATGCACCCCACACTGGGGACCTGGCCTGCAACCCAGGCATGTGCCCTGGCTGGGAATTGAACCAGTGACACCCCCCCCCCCCCCCCCACCCAGTTCTCAGGCTGGCACTCAATCCACTGAGCCACACTAGCCAGGGCTATGTGCATATTTTCTTTTTTTTTAATCTCAAAGTATTTTTTTAATTTAGTTTTTGTTCAAGTACAGTTTTCTCTCTTTTACTCCCATCCCAGCCCACCCCCCAGTGCTCCCCACCTCCCTCCCATTTCCACCCCTGTTAGTTTTTGTCCATGTGTCCTTTACACTTGTTCCTGTGAATCCTTCCCCTTTTCCCCTGAAATTCCCTCCCCTCTCCCCTCTGGTCCCTGTTAGCCTGTTCTCTTTTTCAGTTTCTTTGGTTATATTTTGCTTGCTTATTTGTTCTGTTGTTTAGCTTCCTGTTAAAGGTGAGATCATATGGTATTTGTCTTTCACTGCCTGGCTTATTTCACTCAGCATAATGCTTTCCAGTTCCATCCATGCTGTTGCAAAGGGTAGGAACTCCTTTCTTTCTGCTGCATAGAATTCCATTGTGTAAATGTACCATAAATTTTGGATCCATTCATTTACTGCTGGGCGCCTAGGTTGCTTCCAACTCTTGGCTATTGTAAATTGTGCTGTTATGTGCATATTTTCTTGATGAATTTAAACTAATAATTATTTATGCACTCTCTGCTTCTTCAGTTTGAGATAAAACAATGAAAGAAAAACAGTATGGATGGCAATAACAATGGTTTTGGGACATGAACGCCCATGAGTGAAACAAACTCCCACTGCATGGCCTTTATCTTCTACCTGTCCACCTCCCGTCCTACCCTTTTTAGGGGTTATTTTAAATGTCATGTCCTCTATGGAGCCTTCTAAGATATTCCCAACGAAAACTAAGTTTCTTTAGCTCGGCCCTCCATAAAATATCTCTTCACCTTTCTATGGCTCTTATCATGTTTTATTTATTCTCCACTTTCTGTTGTACTCTTTCTGAAGAAAAAACAGTGTTTTATTCATATTTCTTCATATTCATATTTCATATTTCTTAAATTATCCCATCAAGTGTTTTACATTCAATAAATATTTGTGAATTGAGTGGTCCCCCACTTAACCCCTGAGTTAAAACTAGATTCTTCTTTTGTCTGAGCATACTTATGCTAATCCTCTTACTTTACACTAAAGGTTCACATTTCAATCATTGCCCATAATTTGACTGAAATTAAAACTGTAAACTAAAATCAGATGAATGACTCAGTCAGCTACTTTTTTAAAGGTCAAAGTATTTGCTGCCAAAAGGCCAGCAGGCTGAATTTGATCATCCCTTAAGTTAAAGTCTACTTTTAGCTTCAAATTTGTTTAGTTTTGTGATTTACACAGTTAATTACTTTTCCAATAATAAATAAATGAGTTTCCTGGTAACTTTCTTAAGTTATCTGAAAACTTGCTTTGGTTTATTTTTCCTGATATCTTTACAAAGGCATATTCTGGGCTCAGTCCTAGGACTTTCCTTTTCTATTTCTAGTTTACATCTACTTTCTTGGTAATCTCATCTGTTTTTATGACTTTAAATTTCATCTATGTGTAGTTGAAACTCAAATTTTTGTATCCTGCCTGTATCTCTTCTTTGTATTCTAGACCGATATGATCAACTGACTATTCAACATCTCTGTCTTCAAAGGCATTCTAAACTTAACGTGTCTCAACACAAATTCCTAAGTCCCTTCCCCATTCCTCAGTAAAGCATTTTCCTCTTCAGGTTTTGTCACATCTCAATCAACGGCCACTTTATCCAATCTTTCTAGTTGCTTAGGCCAGAATCCGTGGAGCCAAATCATTTTCACCTCTTCAGTTAAAACTCTCCAGTGGCTTCACTCAATTATCAGAAGAGCTAAATGCCTTCCAGATCCTTACGCTATTGCTCACCACCACTCACTGCAGTTTTCTCGGAACTTATTTTATTTTGATTTAATGCCCATTGTCTTCCCCCTCCTTACCTTGCTTATTCCACAGTGCCTTCCCTACTGGGCCTCTCATGCACTCCAGGGCTTCTTTTTCTCACCGTCCCCCTACCCCCCTGTGACCCTACTGTTCTGTCTGCTTAAAGCATTTCCTTTAAATGAACTCCATGCCCCACTCCCTCACTCCAACCAGATCTCTGCTCGAATGTCACATTCCAGCAAGAACTATTTTCAACACACTGAATTCCGTCTGCATTTTCCACTTTATTTCTCTCCAAATTCTGCACCTTGTGAAACTATATTTTACTTACTGGTTTCACTTACTCCCTCCTCTCACTAAAATGTAAGATCTATGAGGACTGGATTTTTGTCTGTTTTGCTTACTCCTTTATTCTTAGTGCTGAAATAGTTACTGGAACATAGCAAATGCTCAATAAATAGTTCCTGCATAAATGAATTCTCTAATAAGTACAAAAGGTCAGAACAAATATGAAGAGAACAAAATGGTAAAGAATAACTTTCATTTGAGTTGTACCTCTTAGTGCATGTTTCTAGGCAGACAAGAAAATCCCATGGTATATTTTAAATTCTTAATTTAAAAAAGACTCTCATTCAGTTATTTAAAAATATACATACGGTCATGCACCACTTAACAATGAGGATACTCTCTGAGAAATGTGTTATTAGGCAATTTCATCATCGGGCCAACATCACCGAGTGCACTTACACAGACCTAGATGGCATAGCCTAGATGTGTAGTAGGCTGTTGTGTGCATCGACAAAAACAAAAAAAAACCTGAGCACACACCTCAATTAAAGGGTAGTATTTAAATTATGCTTTTCCAATTTTCAGTTGTATTAACTCTTAAATCTCAGACATTTTTTGAGATGAGCAAAGGCAATGAAAACCATTGAAAATCATTAGCTTCCATGCAAACAGGTCCTCGCTCTTTCATTTGAATTTCTGGAACTCTAACTCTTTCTGGAAGAGATCTTCAATATTCAAAATTTTTTGCATAAATGAATTTTAAATTTGAATATCTTACTGGTATTTGTTGATTTGAAAAGCCTAAAATCACCTTTGTAATTAGAACCTCCATTAGCCGCTACCAGTTCAGAGGCAGGATTTTGAAGTGCTAGGAGTAGCTGCATACCCTGAGCTTTCTCCATGGTTTCGGTGACCAGATCCATGTTTGGGGAGCTGCCCCTAGGGGCAGGAACAGTGGAGAAGTTCTGGCTGCAGTCATACTTGCTGAGAGTGGACATCATTTCCTGAGGCTGCACCATTATGACCCTGGAGGTCAAAGACAGACAGGGCAGAGCCTCTGATGTGGTGCTCAGCTTTGCCAGGTTGGAAGCCTACCTCCAAAAGCAGCCCCACTTTGGAGCAGTGGTTGGCAGGGTGGCCATCTAAATTGCCAAAGGAACATTCACATTAGACAGGAAGGAGTATAAGCCAGCCAATAACAATGGGCCCAACCGTCTGCATGGAGGCATCAGAGGGTTTGATAAGGTCCTCTGGACCCCGCAGCTGCTGTCAAATGGCACCCAGTTTTCATGGGTCAGTCCAGATAGTGACAAAGGTTACTCTGAGGAGTTAAAAGGGTACCATACATGCTGGATGGTGGGGAGCTCGTGGACAACTATCGAGCTCAGGCCAGTCAGACCACACCAGTCAACCTGACCAACCATCCTTATTTCAACCTGATGGGCCAAGGTTCCCTGAATATCTATGACCAGGAAGTCACTATAGAAGCTGATGCTTTTTTTGCCTGTGGATGAAACCCTGATTCCTACAGGAGAGGTTGCTCCCATGCAAGGAGCTGCATTTGACCTGAGGAAGCCAGTGGAGCTTGGAAAACACCTGCAGGAGTTCCACATCAATGGCTTTGACCACAATTTCTGCCTGAAGTGATCTAAAGAAAAGCAGTTTTATGCACGGGTCTATCATGCTGAAAGTGGGTGGGTACTGGAAGTGTTCACCACCCAGCCTGGGGTTCAGTTCTACATGGGCAACTTCCTGGACAGCATCCTGAGGGCAAGAGTGGAGCCATCTATCCCATCACTCCAGTTTCTGCCTTGAGACCCAGAACTGGCCTGATGCAGTCCATCAGCCCCACTCCCACACTGCGCTGCTGAGGCCTGGTGAGGAGTATGACCACACCACTTGGTTCAAGTTTTCTGTGCCTTAAGGAAGTGCAAAGATACAACCTGCTCCAGGGCCAGGCTGGGAGCCCCTTCAATTGCCTGTCTGCTATTCAGAAATGAGATGAAGATTTAGAGGCTTTAAAAATGAATAGAGCCAAGAAATAAACCCAGGCTTATACAGTCAACTAATCTTGACAAAGGCACAAAGAACTCGCATTTGGACATACTGGGAAATGGGTAGCATCTTCAGTAAGTGGTGCTGGGAAAACTAGATAACCACATGCAAAAGAATGAAATTAGACCCCTTTCTTACACCACTCACAAAAATTAACTCAAAATGGATTAAGGACTTAAATTGAGGCCTGGAACTATAAAGCACCTGCAGAGAAACAAAGGAAAAAAACTCCTTGACATTGGTCTTGGCAATGATTTTTTAGATATGGCACCAAGAGCACAAGCAACAAGAGCAAAATTAAGCAAGTGGGACTACATCAAACTAAAAAATTTTGCATAGCAAAGAAAACAATCAACAAAATGAAAAGTCATCCAATTGAATGAGAGAGATTTGCAAACCATATACCTGATGAGGGGTTAATATCTAAAATGCCTGAGGAACTTATATAACTCAAAAGAAAAATATCCAAATAATCTGATTTTAAAGTGAGCAAACAACCTGAATAGATATTTATTCCCAAAAAAAGATATGAACAAATGGTGAACAGGTATTTGGAAGAATGCTCCACATCACTAGTCATCGGAAAAATGCACATCAAAACCACAATGGGATATCATCTCTCACTTGTTAGGATAGTTATTATCAAAAAGACAAAAGATAGCAAGTGTTGGTGAGGATGTGAAAAAAAAACAACCTTGTACACTGTTAATAGGAATGTAAATTGGTACACTCTGAAAAACACAATGGAGATTTCTCAAAAAGTTGAAAATAGAACTACCATATGATCCAGCAATCCCACTTCTGGGTATATATATTCAAAGGAAGCAAGAGCAGTATTCCACAGGTAAATTTTCACTCCATGTCCACTGTAGCATGAGTCACAACAGTCAGTACATGGACACAATCGAAGCATCTGTCGACAGACACATGGACTATTATTCAGCCACTAGAAGAAGGAAATTCTGCCATTTGTAACAACAGGGAAGAAGGTAGAGGGCGTTATGCTAAGTAGGGCTGGGGGTGGGGAGGCATATGGGGAAATGTTGGTGAGAAGGTACAAACTTTAGTTATAAGATGAACCAAGTTCTGATGATCTAATGTATAGCATGGTGGCTACACTTAATAATATTGTATTGTATACTCAAAATTTGCTGAGAGAGTAGATCTGAAGTGTTCTTACCATTAAAAAAGTAAAGGTAAATGTGTGAGATGATGGTTGTGTTAATTAGTTGGATTATTGTGGTATTGTGGTAATCATTTCACATATGTATATATATACAAAATCATTATGTTATACACTTTAAATATATATAACTTTGTCAGTTATACCTCAATTTTAAAAATCATATTACATTCCTGATATGGCTTTTTTTGAGTTATTAAAGACTCAAAGCCCATTTTGAGGGGGATAGAAGAAGAATGAAGGAAAGTTTAATGAAACAAAAACCCTCTTTCCCCCCTTTACTTATAGTTAAATTTAAATAAATAAAATGTGCACAGCAGTAGACATATCAGTGATTCCCTCCAGTTGTCTCATATTTTAGAATTGACTAGGAAGGAACTTTCCCTTTATATTTCTTCCTTTAAAGTTTTCCTTATTATTTAATGCATTTCTTATTTTTAAATGTTTTAAAACTATCACAAATATTCATCCTAAAAACTAGAAAGTTGCAAAAAAAGCAAAATGAAGACAAAAATAATTCCATAATTCTATAATCCAAAGACATTACTATTGACATTTTGGTGTATTTTTTCTCCAGTTATTTTTGTTTGGTGTATATAGTTGAGCTTTATCTAGTGGAGTCATCTAAATGTTTTTCTTAAATACTTTAAAAGGAGCTTTTAAAATCATGCACGTCCTTGCATATTTTAACTGACATATAAAATATTACACATAAGTCAAATAAGTTTATTGAACATTTTATAAGATGAAATAAATGAAAGAACTAGGCTGTAAGAGGAACAAATATGCCTTTAACTATCTTATTGACTAGAGTACAGGAAATCTGTAAAAAATCAAGTAAAATTTTCACATGAATTTTACTCAGTGTGTCTAGAAAAAGTGTGATAGTCTATCAAAAAAATCTCATTTACATTTAAAAGAATAACCATAAGTCCTTCATATTGCTTCTGATCCCAAGTTTCAGACTACCCCAAGTGGTTGGAAAGATCTCCAAATTAGCTAAAATTCATACTATCTCAAAATGGACTGAAACACAAGTATTTTAGTAAGCTTCACTTTTCTAAAAAAATGTATATGTTGGGGAAAGAAAAGATTTATGAGTCTAAAGCACCTTGATTAATTATCCAAAGAGGCCTCCTTAAAATTAATTCCATTTATCTGTTTGTTTGGTACCCTGGAGCTACTTATAGCCAAGGTAATACACAATGCTGAGATTAAGAATGAAGGACACCATTATGTATGAAGTGAGAGAAAGATGACTGGGAACCCAGGCTTATTCTCAAAGAAATCAAATTTAGGAAAAAGCACATGCAGAAGTTGAGAATCTAGAAATTGACTTCCTTGGAAGTATACATGCAATCTTCAAGAGCTAGAGTTGTACCTTGAAGGTTTTGAATTCACCCCCACATCTTAGAGTTCTTAATCTCTAACAAACTCATAGGAAAGAAGATAAAGTTGACCTTTAATGCATACCTCACAGGAAATGGTGATGAGTCAGCCTGTAGCACCTGTTCTTCCAACAGAGCTGAAGGAGCCACAAGGTGTTTGTTGCTGAGAAGCATCAAGCAGCTGCTGTAGGTACCATCTTTGGATGAGTCAAAAGATTTACGGTTACTTATTTCTCTTCTTAGACTCTACATAAGTCTTTATGAACAATGGGGTTATTAATTCAGTGGTTGAGAAAATTAATACAATATAGCATCACCTCATTTATCTGGCTTATTTGAACAATGTGTTCTTCCAGGTAACATTATCCTCAACATAATTAAAGATTATAACTTCAAGAGTAAGCCATGAAGTTAAAAAATAAGTTCAACATTTTTAAGTTTTCTTAAATGAATAATATTTTCCGTTACCTCATTAAATAAAATAAGCACTATGGGACCGAAATTGTACTTTTTGTAATTAATCAGAATAGTGAGTGTTGAAAATTAGGCCAGGGCCAGACAGTGAGCTGGGCAATGCTGGTGAAGTAAAGAGGATACGGTGTGGAGGACACGGAGGTAGCAGGAGAGGCGGTTGAAAGAGGGTGCTGGTACCATAAAATCTAGTTTAGAGTGACAAGTGTGAGATCAAAGTAGAGGGAACAGGCAAGAAGCAAAATCTGAGTCATTGGCCCAGATCAGGTAAGCTTTCCTCTACAGGAGTTGGTACTCAGGGCTAACGCTTGCAAAAGTGTGGACCTGAGGCTGCTGTGTATTCCTCTCTGCATATAACTGTTCTTGTATCTTTTCTTTAGCATTTTATTCTTTCTCATTGTACTTTTTAAACACTATCTTCTTTGCCACTTCAGGACCCTCAAAAGCCATTAACACCCCCCTCTGTAGTTACAGCCCTGGACAGGGTATGTTGACACAAAGAAGGCATAAAAAGAACACGCAGCCCTCTATTAGGCACTATAACAACAGAATGGCAGGGTGGCACTATGAATCATCAAAACAACTCTTCACTTCAATTGCACCTACTATCTACAGTATGTTGGAGAGTGCAAAAGAGTTGTTTCAGCTCTCATACTGTAAGTTTTCAAGCTATTTAGTGCCACATTTTTTACATTTTATGCTTTTTGTTGGCAATTTAGCTGTTTAAAATGGCCCCCAAATGGAGTCTTGAAGTCCTGTGTGCAAGAAGGCTGCAATGTACATTACCAAGAAAATATGTATGTTAGATAAGCTTCATTCAGGCATGAATGACAGTACTGTTGGCCCTAAGTCTAATGTCAATTAATCAACAATATGGATTAAATAAGGTATCTTTAAACAGAAACACACGTAAAACAGGATTATGTATTGGTGTATAGATGAAAATGTGACCACAAACTTGCAGTACAAAAGATATTAATCACTAAAACAGTTAATGAGTTGATCTTAAATTAAAAACTCCTGCTCTCAAAAGACATCATTAAGAAAATTTAAAAATAAGCCACAGACTAAGATAAAATAGTTGCAGAATACATATCTGATAAAGGATTTGTTTTTCAAAATACAGAAGTCACTTTCAAACTGCAGTAATAAGAAAAATAACAAACTAATAAAAATGGGCAAAAGATGTGAACAGACTGTTTAGTAAAGAAATGCATACAGCAAATAAACACATGAAAAGGTGATTAAGAAGTATTCCAAGTCATGAAATCCAAAGACCTACAACCAAGATTGCTCTATCCAGCAAAGCTTTCATTTAGAATGGAAGGACAGATAATGTGTTTCTCAGATAAGATCAAATTCAAGGAGTTCATCATCACCAAGCCCTTATTATATGAAATGTTAAGGGACTTATCTAAGAAAAAGAAGATAAAAATTATGAACAGTGAAAGGACAGCAAACTCACAGTTATTAAGAACCACACCTAAAACAAAAGCAAACTAAGAGGACAGCTAGATCAGGAGTGGAACCATAGAAATGAAGATCTCATGGAGGGTTAGCAACAGGGGAGTGGGAGGAGGAGAAGGTACAGAAAATAAGTAGCATAGACGGTAGGCAGAAAATAGGGGAAGGGCAAGAATAGTAGGGAAAATATAGAATCTAAAGAACTTGAGACACGTGGTCATAAACTAAAGGGGGGGAGTGGTAGGGGAGGGGGCTTGCAGGGTGGAGGGGAATGAAGGGGGGGAATAGAACAACTGTAATGGCATAATCAATTTAAAAAAAAGAAGAAAAAAAGCAAAAAAAAAAAAGAAAAGGTAATTAAGAACCACCATCAGCCCCCATTAAAATAAATACATAAATCCTGATTTGCATTGAACTCTTCATCAATCTCATCTCCACATTCCAAATTCCTGAAAGATTACCCAATGTCCTCTCATTTATTTTCTATTCTGATTCACTGCCATCTCATTTCTACCTCCATTTCTTTCCTGAAACTGTTCTCAGGGAAGACTGACAGTTGTCAAATCCAACACTCCCTTTTAGTTCTTATATTTAATCTCTGACTATTCAACACTGGCCACACACTATTTATATCTCTTCTTATCTTTTGGGTCAACATTTTCTGGCTCTGGCCACCCATTCCCTTCCCTTATTGCTCTGAGTGTTCTCTCTGAGTCCTCATATTCTAAACTTAGTTCAATATTATTGACATGCCGAAATCATCTCTAAATCATGGATTTAGATGTCTAGCTCAAATTTTTCTCCCAAGGTTACCAATGCCTACAACAGCCTCTCAGATAGTTCTAAGTATGTAATAAGCACCTCCCAATCAACATACCCAGAACCCAAATTCATCACTTCCCCATCATCATGCCTCCTTTTGTGTGCTCAATTAATGCCACTGTCTACTGGGTCAGCAAAACTAGTTACTAGAGTCATTCTTCCTGTCCTGAATTCTTAACTTTCCACACACATTGTTGATTGCGCACTTCAGAAGTCACTGTTTCCTTACTGGTCACAATTGCCTGTCCAACCTGCCTCCACAAAGCTCTCAGAGATCTATTTTCTCCTTTCAGTTCCTGCTGCCTTGTTTTGCTTTAGGTCCTCCTAACCGTGTTCTTCATCTCCAGTCAATTCTCTATGCTATCATTAAAATTATATTTTTAAGATCCAATCTGATTATGCTATTTCTATTTAACAATCTTCGCTATCTCTTGACTGGCATCAAGATAAAGGTTAAACTACTTAGCAGGAATACAAAGCCCATTGCATTCTGCCATGGACCTAGTTTTCCAGCTCAAATCTTATTCCTCTCAACCTGGAGGAACACCTGCCAGTCACAAAACATCAACATTACTTGCACATTTTGTTCTTGGTATGTGAAATGTTTTCCCACGCCCTCTCCTTCACAGGTTAGAAAATTGTTACCAATCATTAAAATCCAGCTGATGGTCCTTTCTTCTATGTGATCTTCGAAAACAATCTTATCTGTGTATTTCAGTGGCTCTCAACTCTGGCTGCTCATTATATCACTCGTAGGGGGTACTTTTAAAAAATATCGATGCCCAGCCTCTACCCACAGTAATTCTCACTTCATTGTCTAGAATGAATCTAAGTATAGGACTGTTTCAAGTATTCCTTCAGAGTATTCTAATGTGTGAAGTACTAAAGATAAAAAATTAAAGAGTGTGAATTTTATGACTTCAAGAAGTTTGCTGTAGAGAAAACAAGTAAATTAATGATCATTTATAATAGGAAGGAGTACAAACAGTGAAAAGATATCCATGTAGAACAAAGAGAAGAAGCAGGAAGGAAAGATATGTCAGTAGGCACCCTCCTGGAGATGCCTATCATAAACCAACCAAGTATTTGGTAATTTTTTAAATCTGTTTGTAGAACCCTGCTAAACCATGCATGATAGGTCAAAGCAACTAATCTATAGTTTAATCACTGTACACAATACAACAAAGAGCTGATCTATAATCAATCACCATTATACCCTTAATGCCCAGAACAATACCTGCACATAGAACTCAAAAATACATGTTAAATAAATTAATGGTCAACAGTAGCATTTAAACTTTTTCTTAAGAAATGCATTTATGATTAACACCAATATTGGCTGCAAATTTAAACTAAGCATCATACTCTTGTGTCAAAGAAATTGACCAAGCATGTATATGTGTTCTACTTCTTGAATGAGACAGGTAATTTTAAATGAATCTGAGAAAAAAAAAAGTATTGACAAAGCAGTTCACTTTCAGTAATCTGGGTTTTCCCAAATAGTGACAGAAGAGCCAGTCATTTTGAATTGGACAGTTTGAGTTCCTCTTCAAGAATCTGAAATGTAGGTCAGGGCTTTGCTGACATTTCCATTTGCCTCAGAGCTGAAAATCTAAAGTGATCATTGACAGGCAGGCAGTGGGGAGAGAAGACACAGACGTGATGGGCCAGGCTCCAAAGTGGAATTTCGTGCTTCAAACAGATTGAAAGGTAAAGAGAAGACAACCGTCCAAATACTTAAAAGCAGCCGTGTTTCTTTTTGAAAATATATGGGCAAAGTTGTTTTCTCTTATAAGTCTTTGTGATATTTTATATAGTGGTTAATGATGAAAGTTGAATCTATAATATTATCTGACATCACATCCCCTTACATAATGATTATTGTGTATATTCTATTTGGTGAGTAGTTAACTTTTGACTAGAAACATTTTAGGGTTTGTTTTGCCTATTATTTGTAAAGAGAAAACCTACTATTGTTAACAACTTATGAAAGGGATCCCTATATTCACAAGTCATGAGAACACCAGTTTTTAAAAATGTTATTGGATACTTTATGCTATTTGATGAGACATGAATTTTGTTTTGTTGTTTTATATGGAAGGCCCAAGTTTTATTAAACAGGTAAAGTAAGTGAATAATGTTGATTATTGAATAACTGAATTATTAATAATGTAAGAAACCGATTAACTGAGTAATGTAACTCCAGTTGTAAACTCATGGCAATTTGTATAATGTGTTTGTTTTATACTCTTTATGGATGAAAGAGCTTTTTGTAAGTTTAACTGATGATAGCACAATTAAGTGAGACTGCACAATTGTCTCACTTCATCTTTCTTCATTTTAAATGCCTTTACTCTGGAGACTCTAAAATTTCTGATTTTTCTAAAATTTTACTCATCAAATTCTGATATTTCTGGAGCTCGATGGGTGCATGATCTGGTCAGGAGGAAAATTCATCATTAGGAAGTAGGCAGAAAGATATTTCTGATGAGACAGATTAGGTAGGAGAAATTATACCAAGGGTCAAAAGGTCATGCTGAGGTAATTCATAGAGATTTTTGGAGGGTATAAAATGCCATTCTTCTGCTTTACTCCTCAACCTACATTATTCTTCCTCACACATCAGTGACTTTTTGCTGTTTTCCTCCTTCTTTCCTTTCTTCCTTCCTCCCCTTCTCCCTTCCTTCTTAATCAAAGTTTCTCATCAAAGATAACTGTTAAAAATTGTAATGCCTTTTATTATTTTATTAAAATATTACAATTTAAACATTTTTCATATTTTTCCTAGAGGGGAACAAGGCGTTTTGTCCTGCTTTCAGTCATGAATCAGATCACAATTCAATGGGATGTGGTAATAGCTCTTTACATATTCTTCAACTGGTGTCATGGAGGTACAGTATTTGAATGCCTATTGTTATCTTTTATTCAAATGAAATAGAGCATCTAATGTTCTCAAGGTATTATGCTAGGATCTCTGAAGAATCAACAGTTGTTACATTGAGAAGAATTATATGCACATAAAAATTATGTAGAATCAAATAAAGAAGTCCAATCTCCCTCTTGATGCAGGGTTCCTTTCTCAAGTATCCCTAATGGATAGAATATGAACTCATATAAAAACATTTCCATGAGGGAGTATATGCTACTTGAGATGGTATGGTCTATCTCTGAACTATTATAACTGTTTTATGATAATCTGTCAAACATTTGTAATTTAATTCAATTCCACAAATCATTTGTTAATAATTATTCTGTGTCAGGTCTTGTGCTAAGCCTTTTATTCCTCATAACTTTGTGCAGTAGTATTATGTGTTGTTATTACTATTCCTATCTTATAATTTATACAAATGTCTGTCACTATGACAGACATGAGCAGTTTTGAGAACTCCAGGAAAGGGATCTTCAGACAGGACAGCCATTTGCATTTAGGGGTTTTTTTCTTTCTTTAAAAATTTTTTAAAATTTATTTTTAGAGAGAGGGGAAGGGTGGAAGAGAGGGAGAGAAGCATCAATGTGTGGTTGCCTCTCACGCTCCCCCTACTGGGTACTGGCCTGCAATTCAGGCGCATGCCCTGACTGAGAATCAAACCAGCAACCCTTTGGTTTGCAGGATAGCAATCCACTGAGGCAGTCACTCAGTCCACAGAGCCACACCAGCCAGGGCACATTTAGGAGTTCCTACTGCAGGCAATGGTACCCTGGGTCGATGGCAAGGACTCATTTACTGGGTGACACGTGACATCAAGGCAGGGTTCTTGCTTCAAGAAAACTTTGCAGATGATGCAAGTACTCAGAGTAGTGACAAGTGCAAAACTGTGTTCTACAGGTTGGGACACAATTCTATTAGAGATACAGAGGTAGCCTCATCATCAGAACTAGAATCCCTCTAGCAAGATATTGGATACTTCCAGAGTCAGACCAACATTATCTAAGCTTTAGGGGAAGTAAGTCACCAGTTACTTTTGCTGGTTTCTTGAAAACTGTAAATGATATGGTGTTAGAGATCTTTCAGCTGTCCATTAGAAATTATTTTATATATTTTTTGTTCAATCTCATATGAAAAAGTTAATATAATCCAGATTACCTTTTCCAAGTTTTCTACTAGAATAATTGTTACCCCCTTTCAATAGCTTTCTTGAAATAACATATATATAGTACCATGTTTAACATTCCTCTGATCAATCTAAGAACTTTATTAAAAAGAGAAGTTAATATATAGAAATATGACTTATTCTTATGTAATCTAAGTGGACTCCTTCTGATTAATGATCTTTTCTACTGAAAAATTACTGACTTACTAAATCAATTGTAAGATAAGTATATTTCTCTTTAATTAATCCATCTATTTCTAAAATATTAAATGTGTTGCTTTGCAAATGTTTAACTTAAAAAGTTCTGAACAAACTTCATATTATTAAATTAAGGATGAATTTTAAGTTGTTACCAAGTAGTAGATTTTTGCCATAAGTAAAAGTATAGTTTTTTTTCTTTAAGCTCAGAATTTTCTGGTACAAGTAGCTTTTATCTACAAAATAATGAAAGATTGACTGATAGCTAAAGAATGGGGTTTGGATTGTGTAGTGTCAAGTGTTATATCTAATCTTACCTTGCAAAAAGGTGTAGCCTTATAATGCCTCAGTTCTCTGCTACAAAATAAGACAGCTAATTATATTTGCTCTTTAGACAGAGAAGCTTAAAGGCTGACACCAGTCTTATATCATGCTGCTGAATCTTAGAAGCAGAGTAAAAATACATGATAATAATCTAATCAATTTAAAGATACACTTAGTCCTAAACCTTTTTTACTCAATGAAAATCATTTAATTAATAGAAAAAATTGTTTAAACATAATAACTTATTCTTTTAAATCTACTGTTTTAATATTTTACATGGAATTTATTACTTTAATCTGCTTATTTCTAGGAATTACAAATATAAAATGCTCTGGCCACATCTGGGTAGAGCCAGCCACAATTTTTAAGATGGGTATGAGTATCTCTATATACTGCCAAGCAGCAATTAAGAACTGCCAACCAAGCAAACTTTATTTTTATAAAAATGGCATCAAAGAAAGATTTAAAACCACAAGGATTAATAAAACAACAGCTCGACTTTGGTATAACAACTTTCTGGAACCGCGCGCGTCTATGCATTGCACTGCTGAGTGTCCTGGCTATCTTCAAGAGACACTGATATGTGGAAAAGACATTTCTTCGGGATGTAAGTATTGGGGTGCATTCAAGGTCCAAATGAAAGCTGGTCTAAGAATTAACTGGTAATCACCAGCTTGTCTAAAAATAGAGGCATTTGGATATAGTTTATCTTATATTAGTTTAATACAGGAGTTGCGAGCTTAAATGTCTCCAGGGCCAAATGGGTGAAAAATACGAGTTATGAAGGCCTGTGGGGTCCATGCAGAGAGGAAGGCAGATACCTGGTCCACGGCAGACAACCATGGCCCAGCTCCCGTACGTCTGAGGGCTCAATATTCCTAGATTTTTGACTCTCCCATAGAAGACAGAAATACAAATTTTTGATGTTAACTCTACAAATTTTACAATATTACCAATGCCTTCAAACAGGCAATTTTCCAACACTTGCTCGGCCAGGCACAGCATACCTGAGAGCAACCTCAAGTTTTAAATGTTCTTTTTATTTGTTTTTTGCTTATTTTTTTGTTTTTATTTTTCTAAACTAATATCCTCAACCTCCAGGCAGATACCACTGTGAAATTTTAAGGTTAAGATTCAGGGAGAAAAAAAAAACAGTTGCAAAACTATCTGTGTGCTCCTGCTGTACTCTTTACCAGCTGGGTGACCTCTGGCAAATTGCCTAACTAATCTGAGCCTCAGTTCCACATCTGTAAAACGAGGCAAATTATACTGACTATGGTAACCATTCAATTTTAATAATTTATTTTAAAGTATATTTTACAGTGTAAAGTACAATGCCAATGTGCCTAGACCGTTAAAAATACATCCTTTGGCTTCTGATATAGGTCCCTGCTTCTGAACCTACTGCCCCAATTGTGAATCATTGTGTTTATTCCTTTAATTATTAAGAAATAAAATGATCGATTTAATCTTAAAAATATTTGCTACATTCAATTTGCGTTCACAGCATTATAAAGATGTTTAAATTATTAGAGTAACATGGCCTGATTTACCTAATTATATACTTAATTCTTGGTTCTACTATTATGAAGGAGAGATCAATAAGTGCAGTGCTGCTTTAACCCAAATATTCATTCCCTAAGGCATCTGGACCCACTCTCAGTAAAGACAGAGGGCATTGGATCTTTGCCACGTTCTTGCCTCTATACTTACACAAATCACATCTGAGTTCTTATTTCCTCACCTCCAGACCTTGTCTGGTAAGGGCCAAGCCACTCGGTCCCTAGAGTGAATAACAGAAAAGCAGGAAGCTTCCTCGTTTTAAAATAAGGCCATAGTCCTACTTAACTCTGGTTACCTGATCTTGCAAGATTTTCAGAAGAGAGAAGAAATATGGGAGATGGTGGGGGTAAACTGAGGAAGGCATGTAAATAATAGAAAAGGAAGTAGAAGTTTTGGAGTCAAAGAATAAGGTTGGTAAAGGTATGACTTAAACTGAGAATAACATGAAACTTTGCCCTAAACTGTGGGAATTGAAACCACAGGCAGAAGTCTTATCTGATATATGAGGACTCCTGACCTTGTCCACATCCTCAGGAAATATAAATAAGCCCTTGACGCTTACTTAACTATATTTATCCTTTGGAGTGAGGATGGCAGTGTTGAAATGCTATATAAATTTTTCAGAGGGCAAATAAGCAACTTCCACAGTTATGAGAAAAGGTTAGTTTTTAATTTAATCCAGAGATAAAGAAAGGAGGCAGAAGAAGCATGGTCTCCGTCCCTGCACAGCAGTCTGGGTGATAGATTCCTACCAGTAGTTCTTCCAGTGTTGGCTGATGGCCCTTACCTCCCTCCAACCCCTCCACCCTCAAAAAATTGGGTGACATTTAAGGTCAGGGTACAGCCTTCGCTCTCCTTCTAGGACAACATAATAGAAGCACTTATTTTCTGCAAATGACTGCTTAGAAAGAGCATCACTTTTTCCATTTATTTACTTTGTGAGTTCTCACATAGACCTGTGGTTATGAGTGTGAGATTGTAACTGCCAGGTAAAAACTTACTCAAACCCCTGGATTCAAGAACCCCTGTGTTCTTGGGTTCTGCATTCTTAGTAAACAAAGCTTCCTACTTAAGTAGGCCAAAAAAAGATTTTTGAGGGTTTTTGTGGTACTCTAGAAATTACATTGCTTTCATTGGATTGCTTTGATCACAGGATATTCATCCTGTGAGCTTCACTATGTCAATTTATTGTTACCATTTTAAACAAAATGATTACATGTATATTTTTAAACTGGAGACAAATCATAAAAGACAGAAGATCAATGAGTCATTGCTTTCCCTGAAAAGTTATCCATATATATTTAAAGTGGCCTTTCTTTTAATGTGTAATTTGTGAAACACAAACTATTATTATCACAATTTTCATTTTAGTCATAACTTTAAGCACTTCTTAGATTTTTATCAGTGATTAAATGCATGCTTATTATGGGAAGTTTGTTCTATCAGAATAACACCAATTATGAAATCAAGCAGATGTCTGTATGCATTTAAAAACACCAAATTAAAATAAACCATACACGGAATAATCACATTGTCACTTAATCATTTATTTAAACATTTAAACATCTTTGACTTAAATTTTAATCATATTTGATCTCTACTTATCTTGATGAAAGAAGACTTGTTATCCAATAAAAGCCCAGAATATTCATCTTTAACATACGTGCTTAATTATCATTACTGGCACAATTAGGCTGATCTGCGCTCTCCTTGGAAGAGTGATCTTTGCCAGAAGCATAGCATCTCTCTTCACTTTAAGTCTTCTTATTATTATCACTTTATGAATCAAGCCAATCAATTCATGAAACACACTTTACTGAGAGTTTGCTATGCCCCCCAAATGTGTTAAATGCTAGAAATTCAAAGAAGAGAGAATCACAGACTCTGCCTTCAAGAAGCTCTCAGTAAAAAATGATCCATGGCTGGACTCTGAATTAATAAGAAACCTGGCCTTTAATTAATGAGTGCCCCAATAATAGGGGAGGGATGGCCTTCACAAGAAAGAGCTAAAACTTAAGCCTCACCCATGTATATTTCAGAGTATTCTCTAGTATCTGGCTGTAGAGCAGGTTTTTATTCCTGAACATTGAATAACCTGGCAATGAGATCTAACAACAGTTCAGTCTTACCCTCATTACCATACTCACATTCTCATCTTTATATAGCTTCACATTAATGTTACAAATATTGTATTTATTTGCATGTGTACATATAGTCTATTTGATCTTCTGCAAAGGTAATTAACCACCAGACATTTACAACCCTGAGCATTCACTTCATAGTGAATGCTATGGAATAAATAACATAACCCAAAAGATTGACAGCTGTCTTTCATGATTACTAAATCACTGATACCCTTTATCTGAAACCAGAGAATAAAAATAACTTCAGTAAAAATCACTGTAATCTCAATCAATATTCAGAATGACTTAATATCTGTTTCCATAGCTACTTCCTTTAAGGCAAAATAAAATTTAAAGATTTCTTTATCCTACTTCATGTCCTATTTCTCCCCATTGTACTCAATGCTATAACTCACCAGAATGTTATAAAGTATATTGTGCATTCCTACCGTTTGAAAATAATTTTTAATTATAAAATATAATTGTGGTCACTGCATAAAGTTTTTAAAAATTTAGATCAGCAAAAAGAAATACCCACCATTTCTAGAATCTCATAATCTCACCACTAATAAAACCCCTCTTTATAATTTAGAATGTCTTTTCAAGTTTCTCTCTGCCCCCTTTCCCTGTCTCTCAAATGAGACCACTATACGATACTATTTTATAATCTGCTTTTTTCACTTTACCATATGGCCATTACTTACTTATTAAACTAATTAAATACATACTTATCTTATACTCTATATTGTTTTAGGATGTATTTTAGCAGTATATTATTATAGTTCATTTAATCTTATTTTGGGGTAGTAAGGTTGTTTCTAGTGTTTTCATTATTATAAACAATAATTTAAGAGACACATTTTTAGCCAAATATTTTGTATCTCTATAAGCATTTCATTAAGGATGCAATCCTAGATGTAAAATTGCTGTGTTGCAAGATATTGCTCCAGCATTTAAAGACTGTAATGTGTAAAGTGTTCTCCATAAAGGCTGTAGAAATTTGCACAAGTGTGTTAGAGGATTTTCTTGAATTCATTCCAACACTGGGGATTATCATTTTTCAAAATTGTTGCTGTTTTGATAGGTGTAAATGATATCTATCATCATTTCAATTTGCAATGAAGATAAAATTTTCATGTATTTATTTCTTATTTTACAAGTAATTCTTGGTATGTGATTTGCAGGTGAAGTACAGGAGTATATTCAGATTTAACATAAATCTTTGGGTATGACTTCAGATGCATCAAAGTCTGTCTTTTTTCTTTATGAGCCCCTATGCTGCTATTTGCTTGTTCTCTGGATAGTCTAGTTCCCCAGGCGGGACTGCACAGGTAGGCACAAGCTGACAGAGCTACACCTGGAAAGTGAGTATATAATTAGCACTAAATATTTCTGCACTTCTTTTTAAAAATCTTTTTCTTGGTAATTTATTATTAGGTGACATAACTAAAAATTTCAAGTGCTATTCCATAGCTGTTCGGGTTTCATCAGCCCTAGAGGCCCTTAGGACTCAAACAGTGTCATCTGAATTCTCTGATCTTTTCCCATCTCTTGGGTCTTGTTTTCCCCTGTATTGGCTTCATTCTTAAACAGTTTCACTATGACAGCAAGATGGTCACCAGCAACTCACAGTTACTCAGAGATAGCAATTTCGGGGGGAAAGAAAGTGCCTCTTTTACAATGGCTCCTGAAAAAGTCCCTTGGAGAAAGCTGATTGGCTCATCTTGAGTCATGCGTTCATTCCCAGCAGAAATTTGTATTTGATTAATCTGCCTAAATGAAGGGCACCCTTCTCTGTGGAGCCTCGTGACTGGCAGCCCTTGGGGTAGAGAGGGGATGAGGTTAGGAGTGAGGGAGATGTCAGTTCTGAAAAGGGACAAATGCTAGCAGACACAAACTACAATGTTCTCTATAACATGGCCATCAGAGAAAGTGCTGAGAAGGGGTGGGGGAAGGGAGAAAAAAGAGAACCTTGAAATAATATTCTGTAATTGTTCACATTTTAAAAAAATTTGTTGTTTACTATGGTAAAATAGACACAACATAAAACATGCCACTTTAACCATTTTTAAGTACACAGTTCTGTGGTATGAAGTACACTGTTGTGCAGCGACCACTACCACCCATCTCTAGAACTCTTCTCATCTTGCAAAACTGAACCTCTGTATCCATTAAACATCAACATCCCATTCCTTCCCACCCCCAGCTCGGGCAACCACCATTCCACTTTCTATCTCTGTGACTGACTATTCTAGGTACCTCGTGCAAGTGAAATCATACAGTGTTTGTCCTGTTGAGTCTGACTCGTCTGTGTTGGAGCATATGTCAGAATTGCCTTTCCTTTTAAGGCAGCATAATTCTCTGTTGTAGGTATGAACAATAAACTATTACTTATTTATTTTTAATTTAATCTTTATTGTATTTTTTCCATTACCATTTAGTCCCCTTACGCCCTGCTCCCTGTAGCAATTGCCACACTGTTGTCCATGTCCGTGAGTCCTTTTTCCTGTTTTCAATCTCTCCATCTCCTAACCTTCCCTCCCCCGTCAGTTGTCATCCTGCTCTCCATCTGTGCATCTGTCCCCAGTCCCCTTGTTAGTCCAGTTAGTTCATCAGATTCCACATATGAGTGAAATCATATGGTATGTGTCTTTCTCTGACTGGCTTATTTCACGTAGCATAATGTTCTCCAGGTCCATCCAAGCTTTCACAAAGGGTAAAATTTTCTTCTTTTCTATGGCTGAGTAGTATTCCATTGTGTAAATGTCCCATAGTTGTTTTATCCACTCATCTACTGATGGACACCAGGGCTTCTTACATATCTCATTTATTATAATTCTGCCACAAATATAGGAGTGTTTATGTTCTTTCGAAATAGGGTTTTGGGTTTCTTCAGATATATTCCCAGAAATTGAATCACTTGGGTCAAAAGGCAGATACATTTTTAATGTTTTGAAGTATCTCCATACTACTTTCCGCAGTGGCTACACCACTCTGCATTCCCATGAACGGTGCAAAGAACACTACACTTTTAAAGTGGAACCAGAGGAGAAAAAAGTCTGCCAGCATAGCAGAAAAATACTCTGGAGAGCTGTTTCACAGGAGCCAAAAGAGATTTCACGGAGGTGTGACCAAAACACTAAATGCGGCAGCGGCCAAGGTCGATAAGGATTGCAAACAGAGGCATGCAATTTGTTAGTTAGAAAGTCAGCAACAGTGGTTTGGTCGAATTGTGGACCAAATCTTGGTTGTCAAGTGTTTAAGAGTAAATGGGAGATGAAGAGAAAGACCAGTGTAATGATTTATTTCAAAGATTAGCTGTTAAGAAAAGGAGAAATATACAGTAGTAGTTAAGAGGAGAGAATTTAGAAGGATGGATTTTTTTTTTGGTGGGAGGTATTTGATCACATTAATATCCCCAAAGGAGTGGAGAATATAGAAAAATAAACAAAGGAAAGAAGCAATATTTGATGCAGAGTGTATTGCAAGGTGAGGTGGTAGGGAATGAATAAGAGAAGTGCTGAATGGGGATTGACCTGTTTTCCCAAATAAAACGGGAAGTTTGCCAAGTATTCTATGAAGAACTGTATGTTTCTGTGGTGGTTCCTAAGTGATACATTTTGTTGCAGATCCACCAGATGTCCCTGACAAGGTAACCTGTGTCATTTATGAATATTCAGGCAACATGACTTGTACCTGGAATACTGGGAAGCCCACCTACATAGACACCAAGTATGTGGTGTATGTGAAAAGGTAGGTTCCTTTCTCGACACTTTAACATAAGCAACTCCACTGCAGATCAGCCAGGGCTTTACCTCCAGCTGGGATCCAAGAAATGAGCCTCAAGCATTAAATGTACATTCTGATTATCCCCAAGTCACCAATTTATGATCAGTGAAGTGATCAAAAACTTTTCCAGGCTGTTAATATTTTCACTCTGGGTGGCGAGTTTTTCTACCATCTTCCTAAACTTTTCATTCACTGGTAGGAAACTGGGGGCAGGGTCCCAGTGGTGACAGAGCCTAACAGTTATAGAAGAACCTTTCCTGAAAGATCCCAGAGCTGTCCTCTTTCTAAGGTTTAGGCAATTGACTCAATTTCTTCAAATTGCCTTCTCTTTATCTTTGAAATGAGCGTAAAATAGAACTTATTGCAAAGGTTCACTCTAATTATTTACATGGAATTTGGCTTTTAAAGTGTGTATCACAGTGCCAGGCTCATAGTTTGTACTAAATTCATGAAGGCTATTTTATTAATAATGACCCCTCTAACTTAAACTTGGTGTCTATATAGGCTAAGCAACATTTATGGTTTTCCTGAGTCTAAGAAGGTTCCTGGGACACAGAACTTTCAGTTTTGAAACTGAAAGGAATAATTGAATGAAAGTAATAATTTTCTAGATGGAGTTGAGGAGGGCTTTGTGGAAATGCTCTTTTGTTATGTCCTAACAATACCCAGACTGCAGGGGCCGAGATGACCATGCAGCCAACATCTTAAACATAAACATAAACTTAAGGTTTATGTTTAAAGACAGATGGTTGATCCTAAAAGTTACATTACTTCATACTAAACTAAATTGGGGAAAATGTATCTTTAGTTTCTATTATTCAGAAACTGCAAAATAGGAAATGGTTTCCTATTTCAAAATAGGAAACCATTTTCATATTTCCTAAAATATGAAAATCCTTTTCCGTTCCTCAGTGTACACAGTTCAAATATTTCTAAGTTACATTTAAACTATACCCACACATGTCAGTCTGTTTGGACTCTTCTGCTGGTGTTAAAGATGTAAATGAAACCATGAATTTGAAAATGTAGGCACACTAGGATAAGTCACCCTGTCCATGTTTCTTGTTTTCTTTTTATTGTTGTTCAATGACAGTTGTCCCCATCCCCCAACATTACTCTCCTCTGACTTAGGTACCCCCATCTCCCACATTTAATCCTCCCACTCCCTATTATCTTTGTCCATGGGTCCTTTATACATGTTTCTTGATGACCCTCTCCCCTCTGCTTACTGTCAGTTTGTTCTTTATCTCCATGTCTCTGGTTCTATTTTGCTCACTTATTTGTTTTGTTCATTAGATTCCACTTATAAGAGAGGTCATATGGTATTTGTCTTTCACTGCCTGTCTTTCTTCACTTAGCATAATGCTCTCCAGTTCCATCCATGCTGTCACAAAGGGTAGGAGCTCCTTCTTCCCTTCTGCTGTGTAGTATTCCATCGTGTAAATGTACCACAGCTTTTTGATCCACTCATTTACTGTTTCTAGCTCTTGGCTATTGTTGTTTCTTGTTTATTTTTTGAGAAGAATGTCTTCAGTGGTTTATTTGAAGTATACTTTTTTCTCTCAAATAATTCCACAAACTATGAATCTTAAAATAATTGATCAGGCCCTTATTGTTTGTCAAGCACTGAGCTTAAAGCTTTCTATGTGCTGCCTCATTTGATCCTCTCTACAACCCTGTAACGTAAGATTATTTTATCCGATCTTCTTAAGCAAAGTTACTGATGCTTAGCAAGGTTAGGCAAATGTATCCAGGGCCACAGAGCTACAGAGAGGGCTAGCTTGACTGCCTTATTCCTAATCTAGTTGAAAATAACCTTCTAAATTTGCTCTTCTCCACCTATTAGATCCATGGAATAATTTTGATTAAATGAAACCTAAAAGGTAACACCTTTTCATTCAATAAATTCTGGGTAAAAACTGAACATTTTTATGAACACATTACTAAACCAGGTGTTACTAGCTGTGTGCCATGGGCAAGAAGCTTATACCTTTCATTCTGAGCAGGGGTTAGACAGGGGTGTGGTCAGGTCTTAAAGGGATGAGGGTAACATGGAGATTAGAAATGGGTTGCACTGGCGAATAATATACAATATGCTAAGCAATGTGCTCTGTATGTACTTCACACACTTTATGTCTTCAATCCTCAACTCAGCCTTGTGAGGCAACTATTATTATTGTTCCCATTTTGTAGATGGCTTGGCAAGCTCATATTGTGTCTCCAAAGTCACTTGGCTAAGACATAAGGAGCCAGGATTCTAACAAGGGTCTGAGAGTTGACCTCTACCTCTGGCCTCTGAGGTAAAATAGTCTCCATGAGATGAAAAAAAGGCCATGAGAGTAAGAAAACTAGAATCTCATTGCTCAGTCCACTTTAGGAGTGTGAAAATGAGGGTATTGTAGAAATAAACACCACAGTTCAAGCTCACAGAAAAACTCGGAAGTGCCAGATTGAAAGAGGCTAGAGCCTTGAGGATTTCTGCTGTTTCCTGGACCCTTTCACTATCTCTGGGCTGATCATGGTTTGTTGATTAACTTTTTAAATATAACAGCTTTGTTGAGTATAATTCACATACCACACACTTCACCTTTTGTAAATTATATAAGTCACTCAATGATTTCAGTATATTCGCAGAGTTGTGCAACTATCACCACAATCCATTTTAGAGCATTTTCATCATGCGGAAAAGAAAGCCTGCATCAACTGGCCATCACTCACCTTTTCTCAACTTTCCCAGCCCTGGACATTCTCTGTGGATGTGCCTGATCTGGAAACTTCACAGAAAAGGATCATATACTACATAGTCTTTTGTCATTGGCTTCTTTCACTAGTCATGTTTTCAAGGTTCATCCATGTATCAATACCTCATTTCTTGTTACAGCTGAATAATGTTCCATTCATTGTATGGATATATCTGACTTTATCCACTCATTAGCTGATGGGATGTAGACCATTTTCACTTTTTGGCTATTATGCATAATGCATAATGCCTCTATTAACATTTGCACTCAATATTTTATATAGACATATGTTTTCATTTCTCTTGGCCATATAGTTAGAAATAGAACTGCTGTGTCATATGGTGACTCCTCTTTTGAGGAGCTGGCACACTGTGTTCTAAAGCAGCTGCTGTACCATCTTACATTCCCACCAGGACTGTGTGAATGGTCTAGTTTCTTCACACTTTTGCCAACACTTGTGCGTATCTCGTTGGTCACTACCATCTTTGTGTGGGTTAATCCTGTCAGGTCCCACTTAACCTGCCTTCCAGGTTTTTGGCAATAAAACTGCTTTAGAAATTTGGAACAAATATAATACAATTTGAGAAAATATATTTGTTAGTAAACACTTGCCAACCACCACTTAATCTCCTACTTAATATCATAAAAATATTCTCTAAATAGTTGATAAAATTATTTATTACTGATTTCTTTTAAAATCCACTAATGCATCCAAAATCATGTATAAGTTATATAGATGTGGCTTTTCCACTCTTTTACAAAGTAAAGAATGGCTGTACTGAGTTATGAGTACTGAGACTATTCCATCAGGAAGAGCAAGGGTTTCAGGGTTTTACATTTGATTTCCAGTTCTGAGACTTACTGGTCAGGCATCTCTTATGATGCAAATATCAGAAAACCCAAATGCCGTGACTTGAACAGATGGGCTTTATTTATACCGTTGAAGGTGTTATGGAGCTGGCATGATAATTCAACAACACCCCAAGGACCCAGGCTCTTTCTACCTTTCTCCTCTGCAATCTTGTGCATTGGCTTTACCCCTTAGATGCTGGACCTCCAGGCTTCTCATCCAAGTGCACCATACAGGGGGCTTAGTACTGTCATCTAACATCATCCACCACAGTGGTTCACTGTGCAGTCCTGGAAAGTTATTTAGCTTTGTTGAGCCTCCGCCTCCTGTGAAATGAGGATAAGTAATACCATACGGGGTTGTTATAAAAGTTATAAGGAAAGAAATTATAGGAAATGGTTTGCAAATAGGAAATGCTGAAGATGTTAACAACAAAAAGGTGATTTTAAGGTATTACAGTGACATTCAAGGCTGACCTCCTGGGTTTGTTCAATTTAGTCTTATGTCAAAACCCAATTTGGGAGAGCAGTTTCATGAAAAGCCATCTTAAAAATGATCATTTATAGAATATTATTATAAACAATAGTGTTATTTATATTCTTTCCAAGTAACAGTAATCTTAGATTATTAGAAAGAGATATTAAATATGCTCTAACAAGTAAGACTACTTTTCTGGCTGCAGTACCTAGGTCAACAGTAAATTCACTCATTCATTCAAACTAGAATACGAACTCAATTTGGGCAATAATTTTTTGTTTGTTTTGTTCACTGCTGTGTTACCTGAGTCTAGCATATAGTAAGTGCTCAATAAATATTTGTTGCGTGATTATTCTAACTGATAACTACAAATAGACATTTCTTGTATTTTCTCTTCACAGTCTAGTTAAATAATAGTAATAAAAGGTCATACATATGAAAATCTTTTTCATTGTCTTTTCTGAAATAAAAAAGTAAATTACAGCCCAAATAAGATAAGCTTAACCATAAATCTGAATTAATGGAGTCCAGATTAATGGTATTTTATTATATTTTAAAAAGGACATGAAAGATTAGCATAAACAGGAATGTTCTCTAGCAAATTCAAAGGATGACCTCTGTAAGCACAGCTAAACATCTGCTCACCTTATGATTAAAAATGCACCCATGAGTTGAAAAAAATTAGAGAAGAGAAAGTCAATTTTCCTACCTAGCAAAAAGGCCTTACCTCCCAGGAAAAAGCTGACTTATAATGAATTTTGTGGTTAAAGTAGTAAGAATCAGATTTAACAAGACTTTTCTTGATCCTATGTTCTTAGTGGGTTTCCCAGTTTGGCAGATAGGTAGAAATCAGTATTTGCAAGGTTTCACTTCCAACTCGTGTGGTTCTATTTTCC